TTACAATTGAATTGTTTATCAACTTGCGTAAGATGCAAAAAAGAGTTTCGATGGTATATAGCGAAATCCTGCTTGATAGTGACTACCACGCCACGGATATTAACGTAACGAAAAACTAGTTGAAAATTACCCTTCTTTCATGCTAAAGAATTTAGCGACTACAACTTTGACAAACCATTTTTCATGTGTGTAAAAATCTACGCAATCGAATCAAACAACAAACTTTATATCAAAAGAAATTTTCAGTTGATCTTGAGCAAGCGACGCAGTCGGTTCGCTGCGCTGTTGTAGAAAAGTATTTAATGAAAACGATCCAGTAGAATAATAAACATTCCAACACCAACCCATACAATCAATTACGTGCGCGCGCTTAAAAAAACACTGATGAATAAGGAGTATGTAGCTAGGCGTGTATGGCAGCTAAATAAATACTTNATACATAGCGAAATCCTGCTTGATAGTGACTACCACGCCACGGATATTAACGTAACGAAAAACTAGTTGAAAATTATCCTTCTTTCATGCTAAAGAATTGAGCGACTACAACTTTGACAAACCATTTTTCATGTGTGTAAAAATCTATGCAATCTAATCAAACAACAAACTTTATATCAAAAGAAATTTTCAGTTGATCTTGAGCAAGCGACGCATTCGGTTCGCTGCGCTGTTGTAGAAAAGTATTTAATGAAAACGATCCAGTAGAATAATAAACATTCCAACACCAACCCATACAATTAATTACGTGCGCGCGCTTAAAAAAACACTCATGAATAAGGAGTATGTAGCTAGGCGTGTATGGCAGCTAAATAAATACTTACGCATAGAAATTATATCTATGTATACTAACATCAAATAAAACAAAACAAAAACTTTGTGATAAATAAAAATATACATATGATCTAACATTGTAAATAGATTTTGCGGCACTTAATTGAATAATAACACTTGTTTATTAGCGAAATTACACAGGAAGACAATGAACAGCTGCTCAGACTGCCGTTGGGCGAGATCAGAGGCCAACGCTGCCAAACAATTTATGCGCATGCTTACTACAGTTTTGAGGGTATACCCTATGCAAAGCCACCATTGGGCGAGTTGCGCTTCAAAGCACCACAACCTGTTGAGCCCTGGGCTGGCGTAAAGGACTGCACGCAATGTGCGAGCAAACCAATGCAAAAGAATTCGCGCACTGGTGGGGTGGAGGGTGCCGAGGATTGTCTATATCTCAATGTTTACACAAAAGAAGTGAGTATGAAAGTCACAAGCACATATGTAAGTGTGACCGACCACGAAATAAACAGGCAATAAATGTTGATTGATAAGTTTTGGTGAAGCTTATCGCCAGTTAAAACTAATGCTTATCCAGCTTATCTTTGTTTTGACGCCAATAATTTTGTTTTTATTTTTTAATTACGTACCCATTGTTTTACGTCAGCTAAAAAGCGAGCAGTTGTTGCCTGTTATGGTATTTATATTTGGCGGTGCATATTATATGGGCGGAGCTACAAGAAACTCTTATAGCCCAGACTATTTTATGAGCGAAAAAGTGGTGCTGGTAACACTAAACTACCGGCTGTGCTCCCTAGGTGAGTTAGTTAAGATACATACACACATTTTTTCTTTATCTACTAAATAACACCCCGTCATCCAACTTCCATAGGTTTTCTTAGTCTCGCGGATCCTGCGCTACAAGTACCCGGCAATGCAGCGCTCAAAGATCAAATACTCGCGCTCAGATGGGTGAAACAATATATCAGTCACTTCAATGGCGATCCCAACAATATAACAGTGTTTGGAGAAAGCGCCGGCGCTGCTAGCGTTCATGCGCTAATGCTTAGCGAACAGACTAGCGATCTTTTTCAACGCGCCGTCCTTATGTCCGGCACTGCGCTAAGCTATTGGGTCAACATGCCGCAGACTGATATGGCCTATAGATTAGCAAAATTTAATGGTTATAGCGGTGAGAATATAGACGCAGAAGTATTATGCTTTCTACAACAATTAGAACCTGCCAAACTGGTACAACATTCGCTGCTCAATGAGGAGGAACGTAGAAAGTTGTACATATTTCCTTTCGGCCCAATTGTGGAGCCATATATTAGCGCGGATTGTGTTTTGCCAAAGCGACCATTTCAGCTGTTAAAAAATACCTGGAGTAATCGCATACCATTGATTATTGGCGGTAACTCCTTTGAGGGTCTCTTTATGTATCAACGTCTGAAGATGTTTCCACAAATAATGCGTACGCTTTTGAATGATCCAGAGCGGATTTTACCAGAGGACGCAAAAGAAGCTTATACGCCTGAGCAGCGGCGGGAAATGGGTACAAATATGCTGAAATTATTTTTTGGTGCGAAAGAGCCAAGCGATCGTTCGGTGTTCAAATTTCTAGATGTAAGTCTATTTAATAGCTCATTTCCACCAAGCCTTAACAGCAGTTTATGCCTATAGGAAAGGGGAAATTACAATTCGAAGGGGGTAATTGCTCATAATAAGTACTAGAAAATTAAAGCAAAAGTAAGAAATTATTTTGGCCCATCACAACATGTTAAAATTCTTTGAACTCATCTCAGCTCTCAACTGCAGTTAGCTGTTAGTGGAAATGGGGTATAATAAAAATTGGGTATGTTAGAGGAAGTTTTTGTATACAGCGCTTAATATAACTTATTGTAGAAGCATAGGCAGACGACAGCCTTGATCTGTACCAACTTTATAATTCGGAATTATCTTGGCAATTAATTGCAATTGATGCGGATTAGGTCCTGCAGCTAATCCTCGAAATTAATTGTCTATTGTGCAAGTAAGCACAAGAAAGTTTGACGTAGGACCCAAGCTTCTCATTTCGAGTGATTGCATATTTTTGTTTACTCTATTTCCTTTTGTTTTATATTATTTTACATTATTTATTTTATTAGTTAATTTAAATTCCTAAAAGTTTAATTTTATGTAGAAAATGTCCACAATTATAACACCGCGCAAAAAAAACAACAAGAAAGTTCTTAAACACACGAAGCAATCAATTTACTCACGAAACTGTGGTCCAAACATAGTCATACTGCGTTTTTTAGTTTTTTTCAACATCAAAAAATAAAATTAAAAGTTTTTTTCTTATAGCGGTCGCCCCTCGGCAGACAATCGCAAACCTCCATAGTCATGAAAAACACCAACAAATCGAAGGAAAATCTCGGCCAAACACTAACATATATGCAAGGCCTAATCTATTATAAAATTGCCTGTCGTACGGTGTAATTAGATGAAAAAAAAACAAAAGTAACAATTTTATGAATAAAAACGGTTTGATGAAAATTCGACTGGCCGTGGGACGAGAACCTCGCTGCTCGTTTATCTGCATTATGCCGTCTGTCAGGGTACAATTTTGATGTTGCCGTCTGTTTATGCTATAACACGAATTTAGTAAACTTTTTTATTTTAAAGCTTAAGCTGACTTTGCACGGTTCGATTTTCTAGTCAACTTTTGTCATGCAACCAAAATCGACCATAAACTGTAATAAAATGTAAATGCTTCGCAGAGTCGATTCTCAGTCGATTTTCCAGTCAACAAAAATCGACCCGCGTAAAACCAATTTTACATCCAGCTTTCAAGAAAAACAAAAAGTTTATAAAAAAATGCTCAAAAAAAAGAAAAAATAAATTTTCTTCTACATATCAAAGTTTCTTATAACAGTTCGCTTAATCGAGCAAACAATTTTTCTTGAGAGCTGGAAATTAAGCTTAAGTAAAGAATAAAACATTTCTGTGCCACAGTTTAAAAAATTTTAAAAATTATCATCCATTTTAAATTTCCTTCTAGATTTATGGCTACAAGCAATTTTGGCATGACATCCATCGCACTATTTTGGCACGTTTGTCCTATGCCTCTGCTCCAACTTACCTATATCGTTTCGATTTCGATTCACCAGATTTTAATTTGTATCGTGCAAAGTTTTGTGGCCACGATCCAGTGCATGGCGTCGCGCATGCCGATGAGCTATCATACATGTTTTTCTCAAATGACTCGTGGAAAGTTAGCTTGGACTCGGCGGAATATAAAACCATTAGGCGGTTAATTGGCATTTTAGTTGCCTTTGCCAAGAACTCCGATCCTCACTGTGATGAAATTAAACCAATTGTATGGCATGCGCTTGAGAAGTCCAACCCGAGCTTGGCTTTGAATATCAGCAATGATTTGAGTATAATGGAATTGCCGGAGAGTGTGAAACTGAAAGCATTTGATGAATTATTTGCATCAACGGAGCAATTGTATTGATAAGTTGTTTTACTAGTTACATTCCTTAACCTACATACATATGTAAATACATATATATATAACAGTACATATCACACTCTAAATAAAAAAGTTTCCAATCTAAAAAAAAATTTTAAAATCGCCTTTTATTAGCATACCACATCGTTTTTTGTAATAAAACATTTTAGGTAGATATGGATTTTACATTTCAGCAACGATGAATTTTAATTTCTTATTTAAAAAATTATGTCAAACATGTAGAAAAGTTGCATTTTTTTAAACGGCACACAGTGGTCGGAAGAGATTTGTTACACGCGAAAATTTGGCGGCTGTTACGATTATAAAAAAAAATCCGAATATGCCATAACAATTTTAGTTTGACAGTTCACAGCGGTTGTCAGATGGTAATTTCTCTAAAAATAAAAAAATAAAATACCTTTTTATATTTTTTGAATTTTTCTAAAAATCAAATAGTCTTTATAAAAATGTCTTTGATTAGGTTTTTAGACATGCTGATCACGAATTTTATGTCAAATTGAAACTTTGACAGAGTTGACAGCTGTCAAATAAACCGCTAATTTTTCTAAAAATTAGAAAAAAATTTTAAGGTGCAACTGGTAAGGGTTTTATACCAATTATACAATTTAATCTAGGTCCCAAGAGTTTTTTAAATTTTTTATTTTATTTTAACGAAATTCGTCATTACCAAAACTCCAATTTTCTTATTTTTAATAAAGTTATTCAGGTTTTAATCTTTGGAAATTTCGGACGCCATATTGGATTTCGAATTTTGGGTTTTCAAAAACTAGCTTGAAATTTGTAATGAGCGAATTTAAGAACCTTTAAATACCATATTTCATTAAAATTCATTAATTTTTTTAATTTCTCGACGCCATATTGAATTCGTTTTTGGATCTTTGAAATTGGACTTCAGCTTCCTTAAGACACGCCTTATAAATTATATAATGCTAAATATAGAATTAATTCCATTAATCTTTAATATTGTAATACACTTTATGCTATTTGGAACAGCTGCTAAAGTTGGTCTACTGAAATAAAAAATAGCCGCCACTTTTATTGGCGCGAGTATGCGCGGCTTTTCTTTTGGTAGATACTTAAAGTTCGGCCCTTACCTTTTGGTAAAGGAATGAAGATCCTACTCGGCTCTACTTATTAGTTATACCTTCTTGAAAAAAAAAATTTCTTGAAAAATAATCCGTGTTATTAGGGTATTCATAATTAGCGCAATAAATACGTATTACCAGGCTCTAAACAAATGCCTTATTTTCTTGGTGTTGAGCTCACTCACAACTTTTTGTTCACATACATGCTCTATCACTTCTTGCCAAATTTTAACGCACACAGTTTTATCATTTTTTTTTAGCCAGAAGATAAGCATAATTTTTAGGAACGTAGATATACATATACTACATACAGTTACGATCATTGAAATAGTACTACGCGCTTACAAGAAGCATTGCGCCCCTAATTTCGCATACTACGCGCTATTGGTATGGATTTTTTTTTGTTTTAAATTATCACCTTTAGTGTATGATTTATCTCTATGCAAATTTCAAAGCGTTCATCAGCTACGGTTTAATTTTTTAAGAAGTACATATCCCCTGTTGTGAACGGGATTTTAGGCGAGCAGTGAAGTAGTAGCGCAGAACAACTAAAGTCGCAAAATTTAGCTTCAATTGAAAATATTTGAGATTTTGGAATAAAAATTTAAGTTAAATGATTTGGTTTATTATATCTACTACTACTATTACTATTACTATTACTATTACTATTACTATTACTATTACTATTAGTATTACTATTACTATTACTATTACTATTACTATTACTATTACTATTACTTTTGAAAAAATTTTATCCGCAAATGCACACTACTATTTTAGTGCTCGCAGCTGTACATGCTCTGCAAAAAAATTGTGCAAATAATCTCTTAAGCGAGTATTTTGGTATTATTCTCCTGGGCAATAATTTATCTCAGCTAATCTCATACGGGTATTTTTGCAGACCGACTAGTTTTGAATCATCCCTTAAGGGTATAATTAGAGATAAATTAGTCCCGACACATCTCTAACTGCTTCAATTAAGGACTGAATTATACTATGTACGCACTTAAGGACGGTATACTACCTGGGGTTTCAAGTATAAATAGTGAAATTAACCTAATCCGTCTATTCTAACAGAACCATAAAACTTAGCTCATCATAAAAATTCGATTTGAAGTGCTAGAAAAATACACAAAAACTTAGAAACTTATGTTGTAGTGGCATATTTGCTGCAGCGGAAAATTTTGTTGCGCAGTAGAAATCACTGTGACTTTGTTACAATACGCCTGTTAGACTCAAATTTCGCATTGATGAAGTCGACTCAGCGAACTAATAGATACTGAAACTCGAGTCGAAACTTAACAAAAACTTAAAAAGTTCTGCACATATTTTTGTTTTTAAATTTTGAATATTTACGGCAGACTTTTCTAGAATGGTTATCGGCTAAAAACAACTTTCCACCTCTCAGATAAACCGAATTTTTAATGCTGCAAAGGTCTGGAAGTGTTCATGGTAGAGTATTAGATTTTGGTATGAAGGCTTATGAAATCAATTCCATACTCTTGAAAAAAAATTGGGGTTATTGAAAAGGGCGGTAAGTTTAATTTATCACAGGGCATTTCTCGTAATACGTAGTAGACAAGCATTTTTTCTAATAGTGATCACCCTTTGTTAGGCAATTGCGTACCTTCGAACGTGTTTTGCATTGAAAAGGATTCTTAAAAAAAGACAATTACTGTTCCTGGACCGCTTTTAACTTTAAAGACGTTTTCGTAGTAATATTCATAATATTTTTATGTTTAATTGATTTGTTTAGATTATGTCCTTGCTTTTCCCGCTCGCATAATATGAATATGAATAATATTTAGTATGTGTCCCAACTACATATTTCAAACTTATTTACCAACTTGTTTCTCATCATACTTTTGGCACTATGTCCAAAGCAGTTACGCATGGTGTAGATCGAAACTAGATCTTTGCAAAAGAGTATGCACATTTTTCTTCGCTTATAACTGATAATTATCAAAATTTAAAAAACACTCAAAAGCAGATGGCAAGAACTTGTGATGTGAATACATAAGTTATGTTAGTTGTATTCGAAATTTTGCCGCTTCATGTACATACGCATATAGGCTGTGTGATTTTTTTTTTTTTCATTTTACTTGAACTCTATCGAATTCCACTAAATCATATTTTTTTACATAAATATAGTGGTATATTTAACTTGGTAAATGTGTAAACCTATATACATATCAACTGGTTTATTTAAGATTTTATACCTAATAATTAACTCTAATAGCCCGTGAAACTTTATTATGTTTTTACTTATTATAAAAAGTAATTTATTTTATTATTTTATTATTCAGCGTATTTTAATTGAGATAGTTCGGATGTAAACGAATAAATTCATATTTACAAGGTTTTTGCAAATCTTATAACGCCGCTTTAACAATAACCAATAAATTTATATAATTAGAGCTTTAAGTTTATGATGAAATAAACTTTAAAACTCATTATACTTTAAAGAAATATTTTCATATGATTTACAGTTTGATACGCTAAGTGCACACAACCCTAATCAAACATCTTTTGTCAAGTCATTAAAAACATATATACAACAAATTTTCTTCCACGTCAACAAACTGATTGCGGATATATCTACATACATACACACATATCTAAAAAAAAAACGTAATGGCAACAAAGTAAGTTGTATGAATATTTTAAAAATATCCCAGTCGGCTAAATGATAAGTGCTTCTGTGTAGGCGAATCCTTACAGGAAATGCTTTTTTAGTAGGACCTTCTCTTTGTAAGCTCGGTTAAAAGATCTTTCAATAGCGCTGGCATTCGAAATAAATAAAAGCAAATATTAAATAGTGGTATTCACCAAATTGAGCAAGTGACCTGGTACTCTGGCAAAAGAGCAGATGAGCTCAAGCCATGACTATTGACAAGAGTTGTTGCTCGAGCTGATCTGCTCTTTTTCCAGACTGCCAGGCCACTTGCATATTTTGGTGAATATCACTATTGTTGTAGACTTGTCGATGCCTGTCTGTTGTAAATTTAACTTTTTCATTATCATTTCACGTAAACTTTGTGTGAAAAAAGGAAACTGATTTAGAAAGCCTTTAAACTCTAGCCTTTCCCTTCGCTTCGAAGGGTCTGAAACAAGGGTTCTCAGAAACCCTCTTGATTTTTCAAATTTTGTCGACTGGGATAGGAAGTAATCCAAATACTTTCATAAAACATTATATATGTATGACACAGCTCTGGCATATTGGAGACAGTGGAACTGCAACTACCACAAGGACGCATACGCGGTGCAACGCGCGAGACTGTCAACGGCATTACCTACTATAGCTTTGAGGGCATTCCTTATGCCCTGCCGCCGGTTGGAAAATTACGTTTTCGGGCACCCAAACCCTTTGGGAATTGGAAAGACACGCTAGATTGCACAAACAGTCCACCCAAGCCGGTGCAAAAGAATAATCGGGCTGGCAAAGCCGATGGTAGCGAGGATTGTCTTTATCTGAACGTTTTTACGAAAAATGTAAGTAGACGTACACATGTAGATATCAATACCTAAAAGTGAAAGGTGCCTAGTCCACTCTTTTTTCAAATTTAGTTTTTGATGCAGAATGACAAATAATGCGAAACGTCTCTCCTGCACACTTTCAAAAAATGGAAGTGGCACCTGTTCGGGTTTAGGGAACAATATATATTAGTAGCATCCAAATTCAATGCTTTTTACTTGTTGCTGGAATTGTGCATTTGAAATTTCAGATAGATGCAGTTTCCAAGCAAATGCCTGTAATGGTTTGGATATATGGCGGCGGATTTCAGTCTGGACATGCAGCACGTGGTCACCATGGACCTGATTATCTTCTACAAGAAGATATTGTATTTGTTTCCTTGAACTATAGACTTGATTCGTTGGGTAAGTTCATTGGCATTAGCCAGAATCAGAGTTTTAGATCTGAACCAATATATCACAG